GCTATTAGGTTGGAGGCCATAGGCAGTAGGTTGGAGGCCTTCGCTATTAGGTTGGAGGCCATGGGTGTAGGTTGGAGGCCATCGCTATTAGGTTGGAGGCCATAGGCAGTAGGTTGGAGGCCATCGCTATTAGGTTGGAGGCCATAGGCAGTAGGAGGCCATCGCTATTAGGTTGGAGGCCATAGGCAGTAGGTTGGAGGCCATCGCTATTAGGTTGGAGGCCATGGGTGTAGGTTGGAGGCCATCGCTAGCAGGTTGGAGGCCATCGGCCGTAGGTTGGAGGCCATCGCTATTAGGTTGGAGGCCATCGCTATTAGGTTGGAGGCCATCGCTATTAGGTTGGAGGCCATCGGCAGTAGGTTGGAGGCCATCGCTATTGGACGTTTCAGTGCATTTAGAGGCGCGTCAGGACCTGCCGATGTCGGACTTGCACCGCATTGGAAGCTGTGTGTCGTGTTTGTTCTTCACGCGCAAAACGGACGGATGCTGGAAAGGCCAGTGGTAGAGACAGCAAGGGGGCTTGTGGACAAGTTCCAGGAAAGGAACAGTCCACCACAAACTACCTCTTTCTTTCAGTTGGTAGATAGCTTGACAGCCTGGCAGATGATGGTCTTGGGAGTTTTGTAGACAAGTCAGTTTTGTGTAGAAGCAAGGACGCCACTAGGGGCTCCTGGCCTTACTACCAGGAGCAAGGACGCTACTAGGAACAAAGCGCACCGCTACTAGGAGCAAGGACGCTACTGGTAACAATCCGACTTAGCGTGCGCTCGGCAGGTGAGGAGTGCGAACATTGTCACTTGTGCACCAAGAAGGAGAGGCGTCATGCCGATGTGCCTAGATGTGTCATGGCATGGGAATGTCATTCCATCTGCTGGCAGACTTCCACATCCCATCACTCGACTTCACGACCGCTTCCCCCCATTATTCCTCGGCCGCGGACCCTGCACGCAGGAGGCGAAGGTGCGTCGAAACAGGATCCAGCTAGAGCTCCGCAAGTGGCGACGTGACCAGCAGAGGCGAGCGGAGACTGTGATCTGTGACGGAAATCAAAAGATGCCCAAAGGGATTCTTGATAAAGTGACTCTTGAATGGATGTGCATGGGTCTCTCATGGGTGTGGATGCAATTGGAAGCCCTCTCATGGTCTCATTGTTTTTTCCCTCAAGTCAAGTCACATCATTTGCCTGTGGGCCCCACTGTACTACAGGAGCCCCTAGTAGCTTCTTTGCTCCTAGTAGCGATGCCCTTTGCCCCTACTAGCGTCCTTGCTCCTAGTAGTAAGGCCAGGAGCCCCTAGTAGCTTCTTTGCTCCTAGTAGCGATGCCCTTTGCCCCTACTAGCGTCCTTGCTCCTAGTAGTAAGGCCAGGAGCCCCTAGTAGCTTCTTTGCTCCTAGTAGCGATGCCCTTTGCCCCTACTAGCGTCCTTGCTCCTAGTA